CCAGCCTAAAAGCAGACTTTCACATTTCTAAAAATTCCTTTTGAGAATTATAGATATGTATATACATATGTGTATGGTCATAGATATATATGTATATATACATAAACACACACACACAAATATGTATATACACAAAGGGGTTTTGAACGAAGATGTGAGTATAGGCAGACTTTCACAAACAATATTCTTAAGCAGACCACCTCTTTGCTATCGAAAGGTATGCTAAATACAAGATCTTACTGGTTTTGGGATTATTAAAAAAATGCGTTTAATTTGGTAATGAATACTGAAATCTTAAAGGCCCTTCTTTGACAAGATTTCTTCCATAAATATATTAAAAGTTTATATCATGCCTCAAAGAAAAGGGATAATTTGTTTGTTGACCAGAATTGTGCATATCAAACATGGTACAAAACATGGAGACATACTGACCAACATTTAGAGTGCAGTGGTTTCAAGAGGGATTCCCTAGAGGTAATAAGATCACATATGTTTGTTATTGTCAAGTCCTGCAACACTATAGATCCTTCTAAGTGATTTCTCCACATCTCAGAAGAGTTCATCCTAATGATCTATACTAGGAAGAGTAAGGTAATGAAAACCTACTGTCTAAAGTAGACTGTCCCATCAGTGTACACACACACACATATGTGTGTGCATGCATAAATATATGTACACATGCACAAATGTGTGTATATACATATGTATGCACATGTTTGTACATGTGTGTGAATGGCTTAGACTCTGAAGATACACAATGAAGTGGGACCAAAATTGAATAGGAAGAGGAGAGGGCTAGACTGCATTTAGAAAGTTTAAAAGTGCTTTTAATAATGTCAAGTTTCTCCCCTAAAACAAAAGCTTATCTATTTTTGTTTTTTTTTAATACATTAATATTCTTCCAGTGATGGTTTATGGCTAAAAAAACCAAAGTCTTCCAAAGTCTTCAAGGAATTAAAGCTGCAGGTCAGCAAAGGACAATGATGAGATCCATGGTAAGTATGACTAGGCTGCACTATGGTGTGAAGGAATTATGGTGTGGGATAAGTGATATAAAAGACATCATCAGAGAGATATATAAACAGAAAAGTAGGTGGTGGGCCAGTCATGCGAAGAGTAAAAGATTGATTGTTACATCATGTTCTAGTAGTTCTTAATCTGGGGTCTGCAAACTTTAAAATCTATTTCATAAGTGCATTTCAATATAATGTATTTTCTTTGCAATCATATATATTTTATTTTAATACATTTAAAAACATTATTCTGAGGGGTCTAGGCTTAACCAGACTGCCAAAGGGGTCCATGATACAACAAAGGTTAACAGTCCTTGGATAGGTCTGGATTTCTCACAGAGGTTTCATGGGACATGGGCAAGAGTCAAACAAGATGAGGAGATGTAAATGAATTGTATGATTGGAAGGAGTATTCATATCCATGAGATCACAAATACATCAAAGTATTGTACTAAAAAAAATTTATTAGAGTATAGAAGGGTGTTTATTAAAAGATGGTCCCAAAGTGCAATGACTGTTACCACCAAACTTCAGTATATAGCCACAAAATCCACTCACCAAGTTGAAGATAACTTGTACTTTCAGCAAATAAAATATTAATCTGATTCCTCATCATGGAACAGAGGTGACTCTGGGTTCTTGAAGCTTTCCAGAATCATCACAGAGAAAACTCTGCAAGATCTTGGACTTTAACAAGTAAAATTTCAATTACGGTCATTCTATTATATCCCAAGGCTTTATCCTAGACCCTCTTTTCTATATACACTCTTTCCCAGAGGTCTAATCAACTACGATCAGCTCAACTATGACCTCTATGAAGATGATCACCAGATCTAAAGATCATTTTCTCTTCTGACCTCCACTCTCACACTACCAACTGCCTACTGAAGAGATGTCTTACAGCTACAGGCAATCTTCAACATTAGGGCATTTAACTTCTGTGATTTCAAGCATTCACATGATTTTATTAGTAACCTCATTTTCACTTTCTTGTTGGCAACCTTGCCCACATTCTCAGCTATGCACAGCAGAGATGTATACGTGTTCATATCTGCAAAAAGAAGGGAAGCATTCATAAAAGTGTTCATGAACCTGCTCCAGAAAGTGCTAAAGTAAGCTCTCACGTGGGGGATGAAGGAATTGAAAAAAATGGAAAAGTGGCTAAGTTTGTGGGTAAATGAGAGGGTGGTCACCCCCACCCTCTTGCAGGCTTCCCAGAGTGTATCCCACCTCCTCCACTAACTGTCCCACTAGGCTCTCAAATGTTCTGGCCAGTGGGCCTAGTGAAGGGAAGCAGCACAGCACACCTAACAGACTGAGCTGCTCCTTGCAGGAATTCCAGGCTGACTGGGCCAGGGACATATCCCCAGGCATGTGCTTTTCATGGGGAACCTTTCAACCCCAAAGCCAAAAGAGACCACCTCTGCCCCACCCTGTCCAGTCCAGCATTGCCTATCCTCTCCCCTACATTTTATTGATCATTTCATGGCTACTGTGTTAGGAAAAGTACACATTACCAGAATAAATGTTTTGTTATAAAGAATAATATACAGAAAAGTAAAGCAAAAGATCACTTTTTCGTGGTCGCAAGAACCTAACTCCCTGTTTTGCATAGGTTCAGTGTAACAAAACTCACGTTTTTTACCCTTACACCATTTTCTAGGAACATTATCCTCTAAAAATTTGAAGACTATATATCAAACTCAACATGTCTAAAACAAAACTTTTCTCCCCCACCTCCAAATCCTCCTCTCTTCCTAAGTTCCATATCTCAACTGAGGGCAGTACATACTTCTAATCCCCCATTTCTGAAAATTCAGTCATCCTTGACTTCTTGCTCTCACTCAGCCCTCACATATAACCAGTTCCAAAGTTTTATAGTCTACATAACACGTTTCATATCTGTCACCTTCTCCTCACTCACGTAGCCACTGCCCTAGTTCAAGTCTTCATCACCTCTTGCCTGGATTGTTGCCATCGGACTATTCTTCTCTAATACATCCACCACATAGCTCACCAACTGACATTCTTCAGGTGCAGATTTGATCATGTATGTTACTACCTTGTTCAAGAAGCTCTAATAACTCTGTCCTGCCTGTAGGATAAAATATAAACTCCGGTTTGGCTTTTAAATCCCTTCCTAATCTGCCTGTAGCTTATGTTTCCAGGTGTCTTGAACATGCTGCAATACACAATATGTCATCTCCCATCTCCATCCCTCACGTGCACTCTCTCCTCACCTCCATCTCAGAATCCCTAGCTTTGTTCAAATCTCAGCTCAAATGCTACCTTCTATAGAAAGTCCATCTTGGAAAATGACTGGGGAACAGTAAGAACCCCACTGAACCTCTTCCATAAAGATCTAGAAAATGTTCCAGACTGAATTCTGATCAGGAAATTCATGAAAAAAAATAACAGTGAATCATTTTTCTAGCCCAGAGCAGCACAGAGAGAAAGTCAGAGAGTTCTACAGATACTGGGATCAAGGTCTGGCCAGGAGTGTACCCCATGTAGAACATTCCAGTGCAAACAGAGAGCAAAGTAGAAATTGTAAAGGTCTATCAGTCACCTTCTGAAAGAAATTCCCAAGTAAAAACTCCCCAGGAACATTATAACCAAAATCCAGAGCTTTTAGGTCAAATAAAAAAAAATGCAAGCAGCCAGAAAGAAAGAATTTAAGTACCAAGGAGCCACAGTCAGGATTTAGTAGCCATCACTCTAAAGGAGCAGAGAGACTAAAATACAGCATTCCAGAAGGCAAAAAATCAAGGCTTTCAATCAAGAATATCTTACTTAGCAAAGCTGAGTATAATCTTACAGGGAGAAAATGGAACCTTAGGACTTCCAAGTATTCCTGATGAGAAGACTGAAGCTGAGTAGAAAACGTAATAGAGAAGCAGAAGGGCCTAAGTCAGGTTAGACCATTCACATTCTTACACGGGGAGATGACAGAACTCTGTCGCCATTTGGATTTCTTGCTGTTGTTGAGTTATTTCAATTGTGTCTGACTCTTTGATGCCCCATTTGGGGTTTTCTTGCCAAAGATCCTACAGTGGTTGGCCATTTCCTTCTCTAACTCATTTTACAGATGAGGAACTGAGGTCAACAGGGTGAAGTGACTGGCTCAGCGTCACACAGCTAATAAGTGTCTGAAGCCTGATTTGAACTCATGAGGATGAGTCTTCCTGATTTCAAGACCAGTGCTCTATCCACTGTGCCACCTAGGGGATCATTTGGGTTCATGGAGAGAATCTAAGTTAAGAGATGGACTGGGAGATATTTTGTTATGTTCTGATGATCTTAAAAGAAGAATGGAAAGAGTGGGGGAAAACAATACACCTGAAAATAGCAAAAGAGAGAAGAATGGGAAAGTGATCTTGGGGGGGGGTTTATTATGTAGACGGGCTGCAGAACTGTACAGTGTCAATGAACTTTTAGTTACATGTGAGCTCATCTTGTTTATAAGTCCCTTTGTTTTACTCATCTGTTAACATAATGATACCAAAAGGGGATCATAAGTGTACTACTTGAGATCACTAAACCAGACTTCTTTTTTTGCAGTTGAGGAAAAAGAGGCCCAGAGAGATTAAATGACTTGGCAAATGTCACAAAAATGGTATATGGCAGAAACAGTACTGGAACCAAGGTTTTCTAACCTCAAATCCAGCATTTGGTCCAATGTACTATGTCGTTCAAATTAACTAGTAGAGACAATGTTTGGAAGGTGAATTTGGGGACAAACAGAACAAAATTTTGGACATCATTGCCAAAAGTGAAAAATAGTAAATGTAATAGGTCCATCATTAGTAATCATGGTAGCTCTTTTCTACTTCAAGCTAGATTAAAGCTACCCCTAGGATAAAGGATCAAGTTCTTTGTCCCATGGACAATTTTATGTCATTCATTTACCTAGCTACTATTTAAAAGGACACAACAGTTAAAATTAACCACTGTTTAAAAGTTGAAAAGGAAAGCACTACCAAACAACACAAACTTTCCAAATCAGTTAACATTTAATAAAAATTTTAATAACAGCCTCATTTTTTTTAATTCTTCAATTACCTTTATACATATAATTTAACAATTTGGAAACAAATGGGAAATTCTTGCCTTTTAACATGTCAGACATCATTGCTCAAAGTAGGAACTAATTCTAATTGATCTGATATTTTAAACTCTTCAGAAACAATGTTGTTTTCTTCTACTTTTGCTGTAACTGTCTTCATAGGGTGACTAAAATGCAAAATAAGGTCGCACAGAAGTAACTTGGTGAGCTCTGTATAGAAAAAAGATTACTGAAGTCATTAACCATATTTCCATAGTTTTAGTTTACATTTTTAAATTCTTCAATAACTTTTACTATAAACAATGATCAACAAACGCAAACCTTTCAATATAAGAAAAAAAACCAAAAGGCTTATATAAGAAAGTAAACTTGTGGTTTGTTCAATATGTGTGTGTGTGTGTACACACATATTTATATATCTATATATACGTACATATTATACCTATATGTATGTTTTAAATTTAATAAAGCACATACAAAGTGCTATTTGTATCCCCTTTCTGCATCTTTTCTTCTTTGCATTAAAATAAGTTTAGCTGGTGCTCTTTCATTGTGTATTACCTACCCACTAACTTACTACTGCTATTCTATCAATGCATGTAGAAACTTTCCCTCATAACAAATACGCATAGTGCAGTAAAAGTAATCTTAACATTTTGGCCAGTTTGAGGATGCAAATCTCATTCTTTAGTACATGTCCTTTACTTTACTGTCAAGAGATAGAAGGTATGTTTCATTATCAGTCTTTTGAAGTCATTATTCCTCATTATTTTGATCAAAGTCCAAAAGCTTTTAAAAATTTTGTTTCTTCATATTATTGTTGTCATTGCAGAATTTATTCTGTTGATCTTTTGCTCATTTAGCTCTCTATCAATTTAAATCAGTCTTTCGATGTTTCTCTGAATTCATCATATTTACAATTTCTTATGACAAAATAATATTTCATTATATATATATATATATTATAATTCACTCAGCCATTCTCCAATTGATAAGCCTCTATATTATTTTCAGTTCTTTGTTTTTAAAAAAAGATTACTATATTCTCTTTCCCTTCATCTTTGATCTATTTGGGAGAGAGATCCTTAATAGTGGTACTGCTGGATCAAAGAGTACATACAGTTTAGTGACTTTTTTGGGAATAGTTCTAAATTGTTTTTTAGAAAGCTAAACCAATCTGGAGCTCCACCAACACTACATTAGTATGTCTGTTCTCCCACAATGCTTCTAACAATTCTTTTTTTCTTTCTATGTAATTTTTACCAATTTGATGAGTGGGTGTGGGAATCCCAAAGTTGTTTCAATTTGCTTTTTTCCCATTAGGTATTTGAAAGACATTTTCATATTGTGTCAACAGTTTTCTTTTTTTCATTTGAGAACTTTTTTAATATCCTTTGACCATTTAACTACTGGAGACTGGCTCCTATTCGTAAACATATGTATCAATTCTCTGTGTATCTTGAATATTAGACTTTTATCAAAGAAATTTTCTGTAAAGATTACTTCCCAATTGCTTTTCTTCTAACTTTAATTGGATTTATTTTGCTCATACAAATGCTTTCAATTTAAGGTAATCAAAATCCTCCATTTTATCTTTTACTTATTTCTTCATTATTTCTCTTGAAATTCTTGACTTTTTATTCCACCAGATGAGTTTTATCATTTTATCTAGTTCTAAAGTAACCTCTTCCTACTATTTTGACTGCTATGGCATTAAATATATAAATTGAGTTGGCATTGTCATTTTATTATATTGCTATGACCCAATTATGAGGAATTAATGTTTGACCAATTATTTAAGTTGTTCTTTATTTCAGCAAAGTATTTTATAGTTGTACTTAATGAAGTATTACATATACAATGATAGGTAGGTTGATTCCCATAAGTTTTAGATAATCTATAGTTATCCTGAATATCCTTTTTTTCTATCTCCTCAGGTTAATTGCATTAGTAATTCATCAAAATAGTCACTAGTTTTATGGTCAGCTATTTTGCTGAAGTTGTTAATTTTTTCAATTAATTTTTGGTTGAGTATCAAAGATTATCTTAGTAAACCATCATATTACCTGTGAAGTGATGATTCTGTTTCCTCTTTGCTTAAGTTTATTCTCATTTTGTTTTGCTTCTCTCTATAGTTAATTTGCTTCTCTTTTAAGTATTTAGAATTGTTATTCAGTGAATAAATACTAAGTTTCTATTTTGTTTCATTAACCATAAGGAGGTATAAAATAAAACATACTATATATTAAGTATAAAGTAGTTTTCCTATTTATCTTTTTGATCTATTACCAATTTTACTGTTGTTCTGGTTGAGATCATGGTTGCCAGTCCTGCTTTTATAAAAATTCATTTGGAAGTGTAAGAATTCTTCTTTAGCCTATCATTTATCTTTGTGAGAATCTTTGTTTCAACTATACTTATTTTTAAAATGCAGTTAGATTCTGCTTTTGTCATCATTACATTATCTCCTTCAGTTTTATGAGTCCATCTCATTCACAAAGTTATGACTATTAGTTACATTTTCTCATCCATCATATCCATATTAAATTCTATTCTAAACAACAACAAAAAGTGGTGAAAGGTAATGGGATCAACACTAGTAACATAATTGGAGTGTTCTGATCTCACTCCTTTGTCTTTTCTATCTTCATCCAAATCAGACAGGTCTAATCCTCTCTTACTATTCTTTTAATTCCTCCTTTATAACTAGGCCGTTGTAAATGAATTTTATGTTGATTATGACAATTTCCTCCTCAGTTCAATCTACTCTTAATTATCTCGCTTTCTACTTGCTCTACTGTTAGTTATAAAGTATTTCAACATTAAAGCTTGTATGTGTTCTACCTTATTTGGTGTGGTTCAGATAAGACTGAAAGGTTCATAAAATAAATGGCTGTTCCTTCTATCCTTTCCTCCCAATTTGTGTATTTTTTGACACACCCTAGTCATAAGAGATAATATTAATTTCCTTACCTCCTCTTCTTTCTCACTTTACTTAGTGTATTCTAGTATATTCACTTTATCTTCCTTTTCTTTACTCTGATGGTAAACAAACAAAAAAACAAAAACAAAAAAAAACACAAAACCAATACACTCATTTCCTAAGTTTCAATTTCAGGTAATTGGAGTGTCTTGGAGACAATGGGGTTCTGAATGTCTCTTCTCCCCCATCAGTAGGCAAAAAAAATGTGATCCTCATTTATCCCACTCAAACTGTTCAAATGAATCTAACTTTCTAGGTTTTTCTTGTTTGCTATGTTTGTGTTTCAAAGATTCTACCCAGCTCTGGCTTTCTCAATAGGAATGTGAAAATCCACTGTCATATTAAAGATCTATTTTTTGCCCTGTATGATTACACTGAATTTTACAGGATATGTTATCGTTGGGCTTTTTGGCTTTTTGATATACTGTATTCCAAGTTTTTCTTTCCTTAATGGCTGCATAACCTTATGTGATTCTAACTGTGGCACCCTAGTACTTGATATCTTCTTTTTTCTGGCTACTTGCAGTATTTTTCCTTTGATCATGAAGTTCTGGATTTTGGCTATGACATTTCTGAGTGTGCTCAACTGCAGGCTTCTTTCTGGAGGTGACTTGTATATTCTATTTTTATTTCGCCAGCTGATTCTAAAAAGTTCTGGGCAGTTTTCTTTTATTATTTCTTGAAACACAGTTTCCAGAGTTTTTGTTTGTTCATAGTCTTCAGAAAGTACAATGATTGTTAAATTATCTCTCCTTGATCTATTTCCCAGGTAAGTTGTTTTTGTTAAAAGATACTTCATTTGTTCTTCTAATCTTTCATTTTTTTTTACTCCAAATATTTCTTGTTCTCTTATTGAACCAGAGTTCTGTTTGCTCCACTCTATTTTTCAGAGTGTCCACAACTTTGGTACGGTTTTCTACTTTCTTTTCTAAGCTATTTCTCTCTTTCTAAATGTGCTAATTTCATTCTTTATTTCTTGTTTCAATTCTTGTTTTATCTTTTCCATACACTCTTGGAATCCTTGTTGCCAGTCTATTCTTTGTTCTGAGATTCTACTTGCAATCATTGCAAAGTTGTTTTCTTCGGGGGTTTTATCTTGGGATTCTCTTATCCATTGCATTTCATAATTGTATCAGTTTTCTTCTGTTTATTCATGCTTAGCTTCAGTTTCTAGATTGGGAGTTTATGTTAGGTCCAAGTTCTACGCCCTCATGAACCCTGGATGCAGTGGCTAGTTTCTGTCTCCCCCTTCAATGCCAGAATGGGCCCCTGCTGAGTCAAGGTTAAGTCCTGCTCCTACTGCAAAGTAGATGTCATTGTGTTGTCTTTCTTCTGGATGTTCTGACTGGCTCTTTGCCCAGCCTCTCCTATTTTAGTCTCTGATTGGGAAACTGTCATAAGAAAACCAGGTTTATATGAATCTGAATTTAGAAAAAGTAGGGGGAGAGTAATGATTAGAATTACAAAAAAATACTTCAATGTAAGGGTTTTTTTTTTTTGGTAATCTAGTTAACTTGGTGAGTGTAAAATCTGATCTCTGAAAATTTTACATAAACAGCTCTATTGTATCAGATGAAGAATATATAACTAATAAGAGAGAATTATAGAATATTAGAAATGAAAGGGATCTTAGCATTTGGTTTCTTCAGATGAGGAAGTTAAAGTTCAGAATGGTTGTGACTTATCCAGGGTCCCAAGCTATTTGGTGGCAGATCCATAATTATAATCCAAACCTCCTGATTCCTAGCCAAATATCAGATGTCATCTTAGTTTCCTGTCAGCTCTAAAACTCAGTAATTAGATGATTAATTTGGCACAACTTCATTTGTGGCACTGTTTCAGTCACAAAAGAGAATACCTTTTGACCCCAAAATTTAACAATTGTAGGAAGGGGGAAATAAGCTAATTAAGCAGAGCAGAGACACACATTGACTCTCCTTTTCTTTTTAACAATAATATACAAGCAATTTGATTTTCAGGGATTGCATTCTTACCATCCATCTTCTTCAGATCCAAAGAAATTTTTTCTATATTTTTAATTAGAGCCTTCAGGTTGAATTTCTGGTCAGCAATGTAATTCTTAAACATTTGACTGAAAAATAAAAATAAAAATTGACAAGATAGAAATACTGCAAATTACTTTCAAATATATTTTTAGAGCAGATGCTCATTAATTGGGGAATTGGCAAAGAAATTTTGAAATATATATCTACATATATATGGATATGTGTTTATACATAATAGATTATTACAAGAAATAATAGAATTCAGGCAAAGATGTGAAGGTTTATGAACTAATTCAGAGGAAAACAAGCATAACTACATATATATATGTCTGTGTGTGTGTATGTGTGTGTGTGTCTTAACAGCAATATAATTAGAAAGAATAATAAAAATGAAACTGAATACTGTTTAATTACAATCACCAAGCCTGGGCCTAAAGAAGAGATGAAAACATGTACCTCCCTGATATGGAACTATGGTATTAGCATGGCATTGGTTTTGTGTGGCAGACTACTAGTATGGAACACTGCATATACTGTCAAATTTGGCTAATGTGCTGATTATCTTTGCTCAATTGCCTTTTTCCCCCTCTTTTTAAAAAAAATTCTTTGTTATAAGAGATATTTGTCTAGGTTAGGGAAGAGCGATATTTTCAAAAATTAAGATGCTAAAAAACAAAAGATATCAATAAATTTAATTTTCAAACCCAGAACAATATTTTTTAGTGTTTTTCTTTGAAATCTAAGTGAGAAAACTGAAGTAATATCTTTTATGAGGTCATAATATATGCCATCTTGTTGTACATTATTTTTCCAAATGAAAATACTTCTAAATAGGTTATTCAATTTAACAAACATTTATTAAGCATCTACTAAGCGCAAGACACTCTGCAATATAGTGGGGAATACCAAGAAGAAAAATACCAATTCCTTGGCTTCTAGGAGCTTAAAATCTAATACCGATAAGAGAAGCACACAAAAAAGTACAATACATGGTAGAAATACTAGGGAAAAATGAAAAATTGAAGCAATGTGCTATAAGAAAATTTAAGAAAGAAGAAATCACTTTCAACTGAGAGGAGAAGGGAAGGTTACTGGAAGAGTGGTCTCTGAGCTAGGCCATAAAAGAAATGTCAGATTTCAACAGGCAGAGACGCTGAAGGAGTATATTAAGGGGCATACTGGTAAATGTTCAATGACCAGACTCTCTGGGACTAAAATGTATGCATACATTTTTAAGGTAAATCTGCATTATTAACACTTAAGTCTAGACAATTAACGAAACAATCTATCTAGCCTCTTTGTAGTAACTATTGATTTCTGAAATAAAAATGCTCACAATGAAAATTTAAGTTTCTCCCAGATTAGAGCTGGCTTCAGCACACTCCTAAGAATATTCCAGGCTTGCGTAAATGCATGGAAGTGGGAGAGGGCAAGATGAAATTAAAGAACAGTTAGTAGCCTATGAATAAGGTCAAGAAACTAAGCTGGAATCAGATTGTAAAAAGCTTTAGATGCTAAGCTCAGGAGATTGTGTTTTATAATATAGGCAATAAAGGAGCCAGTGGTAGATTTTAACATGGCGCTGAAATAGTCTGACATATACGTTAATGTTGGTAGCTATGTGAAAAAACAGATTGGAAAGTGTAGAGTCTAAAGGCAGAGTCCAATTAGGAGGCCATTTCAGATAGCCTACCAGGAGTGAGAAACCTGTGCCTCGAGGCCACATGTGGCCCTCTAGGTCCTCAAGTGCTGCCCTTTGACTGAATCCAAACTTCATAGAACAAATCCCCTTAATAAAGAGATTTGTTCTGTAAAACTTGGACTTAGTCAAAAGGCCACACCCAAAGACCTAGAAGGCCACAAGTGGCCTCAAGGCTGCAAGTTGCCCACCTGGTCTAAACAAAAGGAAATACGGCTCTCAGCTAGGTTAACAGCAGTGTGAGGAGAGAACGGGTATAAACTATTGTGGAGGTAGGACTGACAGGACTTGACAACCGATCTTATAATGCAAGTGAGGAAGAAAAAGAATCAAAGATAGCTAGTTAGTTTTCTAAAATGGGTACTTGGGGAAATAGAGATGCTTTCAATAAAAGCTATTAATGAGGTTCTCTCTAAATCAAACTATTGCCACAAGATGGGGCTATTACAATGGAAATTGTCATTAAAAATAATAGTTTAGATTTTAGATACTAATAATATTATCATTATAATACATATTTGCACAATACAATTACTAATAATATAAACTATCACCTATTATAGTTGAATGGCACAAACAAAAAGACTTTTGTTATATATTTAATTGTATATTCAATTACATATTTAATCTAGGTTTTCCATTGGTGATATAATTTATAAATGTTCCAACTAGAAGAAAAATTCAGCAGCATAAAAATTTCATTCATTTCAAGTGCAATTATTTGACAGGCATTCAAAAGATGCCTACTCTAGACAAACACTATCCCTATCTATAAATTTTTTAAAGTGCAAAACATGGTCCTGTCTTCCCTGCAGAATATATTGTAGTTAGGAGCAAAAGATACACAGTTTTAGGCTTATTGTCTCAGATCATTATTATAATTGTGAAAAAAAAAACCTAAACTTTAGTACAAAGAATTGGTTTTTTTGTCTTCTGCCTGGGTCAGATGTATTGACCATGAGGATATATAGCCCACTGTTTAAAATATACAATTTTCAAGTCGAAGAATATCTGTAAAAAAAAAATTCTTTTTTTCTTACACCCTTAATTTTTGTTTAAAGTATTCACACTCATGGATTCTTAAATAATACCCGAGGACTGACAATCAACTTACTTGCATTTGCATGCTAAATCAGAAAGATGATTATAAATACCCATAGGATGAAAGCACTAGAAGGGGCCATAGAACTCCAATTCTTCTATTTTTGCTACAAGATAAGATAGTAGAAAGTCATAGACTTACAAGTCAGTGACCTGAGTCTGAATTCTGGCTCCTCCCTTACTAATTGTGTAACCAGACACAAACTCTCAGACTCTCTTTGATCATCTTTAAAATGGAAATACTAATACTCCAACTACCTATTCATAGGCTTCTTCTGAGAAAAGCATGTTATATAATTGTCATTATTTCAGATAAAGGGACTGAGGCAAAGAACAATTAAACGTCTTGCTCAACCTTACAGCTAATTAGGGACCTTTTAGATCTACTAACTCCCAGACCGTTGATTTTTTGCCACTGTCCATCCTATCATCAGATTTGAAGAACACACAAGGTGAGGGCCCCATAGGCAGCTAATGGGCTGGAGAGGGGAAATTCCCCTGGAGTCCATCCCAAGCTTCTTCTTCTCCCACTCGATTTTACTTTATTAAAAGGGATTGTAAGAGTTGCGGAACAAAGAGACGGCGGGGAGATCCGAGTGTAGCCTCGTAGCGGCTCATGCTTTGAAACCTGGCTGGGTCACACACAGCAGGGCAGCCAGCCTCTGCACCTTTTTCTCAGCACAATCAACAGAATCTGGTTAACAATAACAGATCACACTTGTATAGCACCTGGCACTTGAAGAACCACTTTCTCAGCTGTCTGAGGTTGGCAGCGCAGACAACAATGGAGTTTGCGCATCCGCTGTGTACAAAAGCCTACGGAGGAGTCACAGGTAGGAAGAGGGAAAGGACATCTAATTAGTTATCAGTCAAGATTATAATTAGTCCTAGTTTGACCAAGAAGCCTATTCTTGATTTTGGACAATTCGCTCCCTCCTTCCCAGCGTCCGTCCTTCCCCTCCTTTAAAACAAATCACGCGTGCATTTTGGAGCTGGTACACTTCTGGACCAGAAAGTGCTTGCTTGCTCAAACCCTAAGGAGTTGCGAGATCTCGGGATTTGCCCGGCGGCCTCCGGCAGCCTCTCCAGCCTCGAACTGGGACAATGCTGAATTCAAGGCTACCTCACAAACGCGATTTCCCTGAACCCCAAGGCGGCAGCTCAGGCCACAAATTAACTGAGCTTGCTTATCTCCACGGGTGGGGGCACTTTCCACACCGGAAGTTCCCTCATAGGTCACGAGTGGAGAAAACGAACAGAAATCAAAGCAGGGTCCACAGGACCTGGCATTTAAGCGCTGGCTCTGCCGCTTGGTGGAACTCGGGCTGCGGCCACGCGACTTTACCTGGTGGCCCCTCGACACTCTAACCTAGAGCAGAGGGGTGGTTTACTCGCCCTACCTCCTTCACAATACAGTTGTGAGAAAAAGCCTTTCTAAATCTTGGGGCTACAGGGGTACAGTGAGGTCAGTCGCCCCGCCCTGCCCCTCCCCCCCCCGGCTGTCAAAGGAAGTTGGCCCAGAGGATGAGAGCGGGGCCTGCCCGCGGAACAACTACTAGCTTGGTATCCGGGTAGACTGCTACTCTGCCGTGCCTTTGCACAACCTGAACCCTAAAAGGGTCGATTCCCGCCTGCAGAGCGGTCTGAGCTTCCTCCCACGCCCCACCAGGCCCCGCTCCGCCCCTCAGGGACGGCCACCACCTGCTGCCCGCCCCACGCTGAGGAGAGCTCTGAACACCCCCCCCCCCAGAGCATGCCGGGATCTTGGGCGGCCTGAGTATTTCTGATTGGTCGCTCCCTCTGCCCCGATGCATGCTGGGGCTTGTAGTCCAGCCTACGCCCGGCCTCTTTCCTGGTGCATCTTTAAGTGCAATAGGCAAGAGGGAGGGTGAGCCAGTTCTCTGGTCTTTTCTGACAAAATTCCCGCAGCCTGCAAAGCAGGCCTCAAGGGGACAGAGCAACTCTGACCCCAACGCTCCAGCTTCCTACAAGGAAGGCCGGCAACTTCCTGTAACTAAAATAACTATTAAAGCGAGTAGGTGCGGGGTGCTTAGAGGGAGGGGCTTGGAGTCAGGAAGACCTGAGTTAGAATGCTGCCGCTGACTGGCTCTGTGACCCTAGGCAACGTCGCTTTACTATTGCTTAGTCATTTTTCTGCCGTGTCTGACTCTCCATGACTCTTTGAGGGGGTTACCATTTCCTTCTTCAACTCATTTTACAGACGAGGAAACTGAGGCAAGCAGGGTTAAGTCACTTGCCCAGGTTCACACAGTGTCTGAGACAGAATTTGAAGTCTGGTCGTCTTGACTCCAGGCCCAGCCGGTGCTCCATTCACTGTCCACCCAGCTGCACTTAACCTCTCTGTGACTCAGTTTCCTTATTCATAAAATAGTGCTGATAATGATGACACCTCCCTCACAGGGTGGTCGAGATGATTAAATCATATGTGTAGGTATGTGAGTATACGTATGTGCACATATATGTATATTGTGCATGTGTGCATATATAAATGTGCGTGTATGTATTTACAAAGGTGTATCTGTATAAGAATGCCTGCATATATGTATGTGTCTATTGTGTGCATCTACGCTCACACGACAGCATTTTTCATATATGCTCGCCTTATTTCCCCAATTAATACACGGCTCTGCAGGACTGGGATTGTCTCCTCTCCTTTTGCTTTTCTGCCTCTGAGGATGACAACAGTAATACTGGACAGATGTTGGCTGACAGTATAGGTAGAAAGAGAGGGATGGTGTTGAAAGTCTTAAATTTAAGATAATGTCTGGGTTTTGCTACGGAAGAAGAGATGTCTGAGAATCAAGTCATTTGGGTCTCAATTTTTTCCTTTAAAAATACTGGTTTCAGGGTGGTCCCAAAGGTACTTTGATATTGTGCAATAGTAGGATTTGTGCAGAATCTGGAATCTGAGAACTTCATAGCTGGAAGAGACTTCTAAAAATCTTGTTTCTCTTCTTCCGTACTCCCAGGACAGTGCTCTTTCCATTGTGCCACTGTGGTGCTCTGAAATGACTTCCTTGAAAGAAGCCAGCGGATTTAAGAACCCAGATCTGGGCCTACTGACACCTAGGCTAGTGTTCTGTCCACTATTCCGTATCATGCTACAAAGGAATCACAAGATTTAGAACGAGTAGGAAATTTAGCTGTTCTTTAGTTCAACCTCTGATTTTACATTGGAAACCAAAAGAGGGTAAATAATTTTCTCAAGGTCATAGAAGGTAGCAAATAATAGCTGGGATTCATACCCAACTCCTCTGACTCCAATTCCCCTGTGGCACACTGACTCTAAAGGAGGTCTGAAGAATTTTACACTTTGCTGATATACTTTCCAAATACACACTGTCCCATTTCATCGATCAGCAGGGATGTACTGAGTACCTACTGTATGCCTACAACTATATATAGTAGCTACTATTTTATGGCTGGAAAAACAGGCTGAGATAATTAAGAGACTTGCCCAGAATCACTCAGTTAATACTTGTCAGATTCAATTCAAACTAAGGTCTTTTTCCAAGGTCTATGAACTCTTTAAAAGATATTATTTGATAACTGTATTTTAGTATAATTGCTTTCCTTTGTAATTAAAGAATTCATAGACCTTGGGTAAGGTCTTCCCCAACTCTACACCCAGTGCTTCCTCCAATATACCATTAACTTCCCTTGCCTTCACTTTCCTCTTGTGTAGAATGAAGGGGTTGCATTAGATGGTCCCTAATGACCCTCTCTGCTTGAAATCCTATGAACATTTCTTTTCTTCAAGAAGGTAGAGCCTTAAAGGATAATCAACTATTCTTAAAATATATCTCTAACATATGATGCTCTAAAATCCATCTTCCTTTATGTTTGAAAATATAATATGTTCTGACATCCACAAAGTTTGTAAGCATTGATTCTAATGTTAATCAATTAAGAGGGATTAAAGAGCTGGTAAATTCTCTCATAAAGGGCAAATCTGTTGTGAAGCAACAAGGTAATTAAGCCATTTATGGTGCAGAATGGGAGTGCCTTTGTTGTTTTTATTACACATTCTTGACAGGAAGCATTCATTTCCAGGAAAACAAATTGGGGTAAATGCTTCTTCTTCTTTCACTAACTCTCAGAACTCTCATTTACATCATCTGTCTGCTCATTATCAATTAAAAGTGCAGACTTTTGAAAGCCTCAGAGACAGACTTGTTTCTTGACTGAACATAAACTCTCTTTTTGAAAATCCCCTGTGTGGAAGTGAACAATTAGAAGACTTTTTGTCATATTTAACAACCTGGGACATAACAACATAAGCATATGTTTTTCTCATTACCTGTGCTGCTGCACGTGCCACGGATCTGCTGTTGGGAAAATGGAGATCCATGTTTCTAGCCAATGTCTTTATTCTAATCAGATGAGTAAAGATGCCAAGTATCATCATTAAAATTTTGATCCCAGCCACAGATGAAAGAAAAACTCCCTTTACTTCAAAACTGTATTCCTTAATTGATTTTCTTCTTTGAGTTACTGCTACCATGTTTAAAATAGTTGTTTCTTTAAGAAAAATGTTTCTTGAAATTGTGAAAGAAATGATTGGTGAAAGATTATACTGATCATTGTTACCTGAAGTGTTATGGCTCCTGGGTGGGAAAAAAAAATTCTTTACCATTCTATATGTCTTCTCTCCACCCCCACCCCCACCCCCATCAGACACACTGTGAAATGTTTTCTGCAGTTTGAAAACAGTTTTGGTGCTAACAAAACCCATCTCATCCAAAATAGGAAGAGCATCGCATGATGCGTTCAGGTTCAGTACCTGGACAGTGCCATCCAACAAAACTTCTAAATCCTGATGTTCAAATTAAAACAATCAGTTATAAGTAATCTAACACCCTTGGACAAAACAAAGATGTCTTTCTTTTCCTTCTTCTTGTAATTAGAAAACTAAGCAAGGTTGCAGTTAGGGCTGATAAGAGAACTCAGCATGAGGAGCAGGTTAATGTTTTCTGACAGTCACTATAACCTTTGTTTCCTGATCACTCCCGGTGACTTTCTCTTTGGAAAATATCTTCCTTCCTCAGGAAGATTTATACTGCACGATGCTGTGTTTATAACCATCAGCTCGCCAATCAGAAAATTTCTTTCTCTGTGTCTCAAAATAAAATATGCTCT